GTGTGGCATGCGGTCAACTTCACCTGCTCCTCTTCTGTGCCAGGACCTGGGCTGCCAGCACTGGTGACGAGGCGCACACCCCGTCTTTACTTCAAGGCCTGGAGAAGAGAAGCCAGGGCCTGTCACTCCAGATTGGGCACAAGTCCTGACTGGGCCAACCGAAGGCTGAGTGTCCCGGTGAGGATCCCCAGACCTTGGCTTTGGGTGCAGACAGGACAGGGCTGTGAGAGGCTCGGGAGAGAGGTGCTCGTTGATATGAAGCAGGCAACTGGGACAGAAACACTCAAGCTAAGCAAGCAGTTCCTGCCAGAGACCCACGACCTTTGCAAACAGGGGTGCATTGAGAAGAGCCACTGAGAGCCCCCACGGTCTGGAGACTGGAGGTTGGAGTCTCACTGCCTCTAAGGCCCCAGAACCTGGCTTCCTGTTATAGAGGAGGGGACGCTGAGATCCCTAGAGGACCAGGACTCTGGATACAGAACCAGGTTGTGGCCGTGGCTGGGATGAGAGAAGCTGGAAGTCAGGTTCAGTGTAGGCATCATGCTACCCAAGGCGAGGTCTCTGAAGCATCCCACGAACCCACGTCCAGGCTCTTTGTGTCTCAAAGAATTGAACAAGACACAGATAAGACAGAAGTAAAGGGGGTCAGCTTAATAAAAGCAAGAAGTCCCCTCCACAGGGTGGGAGCAGATTCCAGCAAGCCTGAGGCTCTCTAGTTCCTCTTTCTGGGTCCAGAGGGGAAGAGGAGCTCCCCAAAGGGGTGACCCTTCCTTTGACCGACATTGGTGATTGACATTTCTAAGCTATATAAAGTTATGTTTACTGTGCATGTACCACCCCACCGTCTTTTGTTGTAATCATAGGCAGGAGATGCAGTCCAGACGCATTAGCCAGTAAGTGGTGTGTGATGTCTTGGAACAATCTTGTCCTTAGAATGCATGTGTATCTCCAGGAAATTTTTCTACTTTCATTGTGGTCAACTGTTTTCCATTTGTCGGAGGAAGTTTGGATAGCTTGCAGTTGTGGGCATATGATCCTACCTTCTTTCCTCATTCCTACCACCTCAGACAAACGGGCATGCAGTGGGTAGGTAAGAGAGCAAATCCGGAGGACAAGGCCCAAGGGAGGCAGAGGGTGAGGTCTGGCTTGTAGGTGAAGGGGGAGCATGTGAGTAAAGTTGTTTATGTCCATCTACCCTCAGACAGCCTGACCTTGTTGGGCCCCTGGATATTTTCAGGTCTTTAGATGCAACCCAGTATCAACACAGGGCACTGCTCACTTCCGGGACCACTTGGTTATCAGATGATTCAC